ATTTGAAAGTAAGCCGAAATTTTGCTAGTTGTGAGCGCTACAATCAGTGGACTGTGAAGACCGTCTTCGCCTACTTTTCGGATAGTATTGAGAATTATTGTTAAAATAATGTGTTAACTAAGAAAAGTGTTCTTAAAATTTACAATCTTCCCTTTTTTGTACTTATCTACAATCAATTAAAGTACTATTCTTCACATCGTCATGAGTAAACGATTTTTCTATTAACTGCTGAACTTCTGAGTCTTCATGAACTTCACTGCTTTGTATCTATAACGAGTTACTCTAGGTTTCAAGTAAATGAGTATCTTATGCTTTCAAAATTTTGTTAGTTAACTAAACTCTGAAACTGGAATAATCTCTTGATGTATATTACAGATTTCCAATTTTATTTCATATGAACTGGAGTACCACATTGCCCGTTCAACTAACTCGATCAAATATTGCAACTTTGATCAAATTCACATGAGGGGTTTGTAACCAACCACAGAAATAGGAAACGTTATTAAAAAGTTACTAATAACGTAACGTAATAACATTTAGAGACGCACAAGGTTCACATGCAAAATAAAACAAAAAATTTTCGGTGCAATAACGTGCCTGGCCTGTTGAATATACAGAGAGTTGAATTTAAGAAGTTTTTGGTAAACAAAATCAGCTTATCTGTTATGCTAAACTTGAAAGGCTCTTCTGCAAGAGCCTCGAAATTTTTAAGGTAAAATTTCCACGAAAACACAGTGACGAAGCTGCTGCAGAAAATGAATTAAAAGCAAGAAAAACGAGATAATGAAGAAGAAAGAAGATGAGAGATACTAATGAAATAAAATTACAAAGGAAAAGATAAAAAACCAAGAGAAAGAGACAGATGAATAGTTACAAGAATTGGAAAGAAATAGAGGAATAAATTCAAAGTGAATGGGGAAAAAGAAATAAGGATAAAAGAAATGACGAAAAGAGTAATGGAAGCAACGGCAAAATGCAGAAGGAAGGAGAAGATATGAAGAAAAATGATCCATAAGTAAAATGAAAGAAGAAATAAATGGATAATGGAAGATGTAGAAAAAACGAAAAACACAACAATTTGGTTATTACTGGTTTAGACATACATAGGCTTTAATAAAATAGTGTGACGTAATACTACAAACAAAAATGAGAATAAGGAAGGTACAGTTAATAAATTTAAGAGGAAACATGATGTGTGTCATGGAGAATAAAAGAAAACAAAAACAGAGAGATACGAAATTATATATGTACACCCAACGACATTACGTCAACGACAAAGGAAGGCAAATTAGCGTAACTGTTCAAAGGGTAGATAGTCCCTTTGTCGATGCAAAGCACTTATAGATCCTCCATACCGTGACCTAATAATTAAATGATCCTATAAACGACTCTATTACAAAATATTGTCATATATACACGACAAAAACGTCAAAAAAATAGGTGATCTTTAACTAAAAATTGGCGAATATCGAAAATATCTGTAATCATCTACTCAGCCCTGATGGAACCATAGAAACGTAGCACATGATTATACAACTTTTTTGGGTGTTTCATTCCCAGCAGCTATAGGGTTGTTCGGAAAGTCATTTCGTTTTTTTTTTGTGGAAATGAAAGACAGTTTTCGTATAATAAACAAATACTTTATTAAATTATATATTAACCGTTCTGGTCCAACACCTTTTGTCATCTTTGTGGTAGTAGCGTAATTCCACGCTCATAAAGTTTTTGGTCTTTGCTGGCAAAAAACTGATCGAGGAGGTTTTTGACCTCCTCATTTGAGGTGAAGGTTTTACCGTCTAAAAAATTTTGGAGTGACCGGAACAAATAATAATCCGATGGTGCCAGGTCTGGAGAATATGGTGGGTGTAGCATTGTATCCCATTCAAGTTGTAAAAGCTTTTTGGCGAGTGACCAAACTTGTATGAGGTCTCGCGTTGTCTTGGTGAAACACTACACCTTTCCTGTTGATTAGTTCTGACCTTTCCTGTTGAAGTGCATCATTCAGTTTGTCCAGCTGATGACAGCAGACTTCCGAATTAATCGTTGTGTTATCCGGTAAAAGCTCAAAAAAAACGATTCCTTTAAAATCCCACCAAACAGACAGCATCACCTTTTTTTGGTGAATATCGGCTTTGGAAATCGTTTGAGTCGGTTCATCTTTTTTGCTCCATGACCTCTTACGTTTGACGTTGTTGTATACAACCCATTTTTCGTCCCCAGTGATGATGCGCTTCAAAAACGGATCATTTTCGTGACGTTTGAGAAGCGAATCGCAGACGTCAATGCGGCGACACAGATTTCTCTCTGTGAGAACATGGGGAACCCATACATCGAGCTTCGAGGATAATCCCAGACCTTTCAAGTGGTCATAAACTGTTGAATTTGATAAATTTAACCTCAATCCGATCTCACGTGTGTTATTCGCCGGTTCACATCAATTATCGCGTCTTTATCAGCTTCAACCGGCCTTCCCGAACGTGGTGCATCTTCGACATCAAAATTGCCGGATCGAAATTTAGCGAACCAGTTCTGGCACTGGCGTACTGTCAACACACCTTCTCCATACACATCAGTCAATTTCTTTCTGGCTTGAACAACATTTTTATCCTTTCTGTAGTACAACAGTAAGATATGTCGAAAGTGCTGCTTATCGCTCTCCATATTTAAAAGGGAACCAACCAAAAACTACTGCGTAGAATTAATTGGAATTTTTCACACACAGGCCTTGCTATATGAGCTCTCAAAGCATATAAAAATTATACGGCTTAAATGTGAAGTTGGGCGCAAAAGAATACAATTAAATCCTCTGCCGGGAAAAAACGAAACGACTTTCCGAACAACCCTATACTAATGCTGGTGGGCAGGCAGTCTCTCCAGACTATGCTGTAAGACCCTCTTCAGCCTTCTTTCAGGAATCGTGGAAATGGGTGGGTGGAGGTTCCGGTGAGAACGATGAGACGGACGAAATGAAGACAGAAAAGAATGAAAGACTATCTGTGGAATATTACTGCCTAAGTGATCCAAGGAAACCACAGAAAAACTTGGATCAAGGCAGACGCGGACCCGGAATCGAACCGGTGTCCTCCCGAATGCTAAGCAATGGTCTAAACCTCTAGGCCATGCCGCTCGCTATAATTATACGGCGATTTAAAATCATACGTTATAAAACATACTCTTTCCTAAATTATTGTCTGTTACCTACAACAAGGGCAAGATGATAGCTGAAAGGAAAGTAACGCACGGGTGCACTAAAATGTAATAATAGAATGATTTAGTCCTAAAATTCACTTATCATACGCGAGTAGCGCTTGCGAAATGACTGCTTTATGGATACTACTTCCGTTGCCGGAAATTCAATTTGTTACTTGTTTACTCCAAATTGATGCTTTCAAGTAATATCATGATGCTCTGCTACGAGACACGTTTGATTTATGGTGCATCATCTGAAAATTTCGCTATAAGATGTAAATGCGATATACATATGTATGCTCATACATACGCATATGCCATAGGTATCTATATATTTATTGGTAATTTTGACGAGACTGGGTAAAAGCGAAAAATATACCAAACTTGATGTACCCATATTTATCATCTTAACAAGACGCTCGTTGTAAAAAGATATATTGTAGGCTTCATAAGATGTCTAGCACTTAAAAATTCGTAGGGTGTTTAGCAAAAAAAAAAATGTAGTGTTATATTTTAAATGAATCCATACCAATCCAGTTCATTAATGATAATGTAAATTTTCAGCTTTCTTCACCTTAACCCCTGCCCAGACACGATTAAAATGTCGCTGTGAATATAAGCGAAAGCTCAATAATTAGGTAGCTTTATGACATAGCGACACTTTAATTATGTCTGGGGGATGTTCAGACCCTACAATTAATCTGGCTGCTTACAAAAAGTATTAAAAAAGTTCCCTAAGTATCATACTTAAAAATGAAGAATGAGACTATAAGTAAAATTACTAAGTGCATACTAACACTGCTCTATCATCTATCCCACCCTTTTTGTTACTCAGAAAATAATCAATGCCTGGCGGCCCTGGGATCTTGGACTATAAACAGTGAACAAGGAAACCAATTAAGACTTTTACTGACATATAACTTTCTTTACTTGGATTTCCATTTTGATATTTCTTTTGCAGTCACTTGTTTTACACTTCGTATTGCATTTCCTACATTCCTGAATCATCCGCAGCTTATAACAAATTTCGTTTGAGGCAACTGATACACAGGACAACCACAAAGTAAATTAAATAAACTGTGCAGGTTTTTAGGCAAAAATATAGAAAATCCAACGCCTTCAACAATTCAACAAAAACCTCATTCTTTTTACAACTTTTTTAACATAGAGTGGTCGTTAAATGGAGAGAAATAAAAGATATTATTTTACTATTCTATAATAATATGCATTTACCAATATAGTACACATTTTGCACACGAACATTATTATTCATACATTGCGTATAGCCTGTTATCTTCGTCTGATGTTTTTTGCTGCTCCAATATTTTAATTGTATTTTGTTACGTATCTTACTCATATCTTGAGATACTGCTGGATCAATTTGATTATATAAAAAGTATTTTTTTAATAGTTTCGCTGCATCAAGTGCTTGTTTGATGCTTCGTGGAGGGACAGGATCGTCTTCTTCAACAACGTACACAGCTGCAGTTCTTATCCATTTCGGCAACTTAGAAAGTACTGCACAATGATTTATAATGTCGTATTGTTGTCGTTAAGTAGAGTGAGTGTGACGCTATATAGAGTGTAATATTGTATAAGAAACAATGTAAACCAACTAAAGTCGAGCAATTTCGACGTTTTAAGGAGTTTGTCGTTAAATCGAGTGACGTTATAAAGAGTTTACACTGTATTAATAATAACTTTAGATTAACTTTAATCCGTTAGATTTTCAGTTAGAGTTTGGCGCGACTCACTTTTGGAGTCAATCCGTTCAATTGTCGCAAAAATGAATTATTATTAACGGTACTTACATTGAAGATAATTCGTGACTTTGCAGACAATCTCGCCAAAATTCCATAACATGGTATAAGCAGACCAGACACCCATGGGCATACAAAGAAGAGTAACCAGTAGATCAGCCACCGATAAATTCACCAAAAAATAGTTCGTCACGCTGAAAACAAAATAAATGCGATTATTTATGTTATCAAATAATAGAATTCTAGCAAACAATAAACATAATGTGTAAGTGTTTTAAATAAAAAGTAACACGGACACATCCGAATCTCTCCAGTTATAAATCCAGATGACAGAAATGACTTTTGATTCTAACCTTGCAGAGAAATTTGCTTTCCAATTCATTTTTAATGCGCCCCCTATGTCTACACAAATTTTCCGAAAAAAATAAAACAAAAATCTAAAGCAACAAATGCTTTGGCACTTAAAACATTTTCTATAATAATATTTACATTTCGACTGATTTTGAACATCGGTTAAAAATGAGGTAGCTAGTAATAAATTGTCATAGATTAATTAAACAAAAAAATCCGATTCCCTCACGGATTGGCGACTGAAATATGTATATACCGTGAGCGAAAGGATACACTATGCGAATTTTCGCTTTGTAAATGCATTTGTCTATTTCTGTATTTGTACGTATCTGTACCTTCGCACATTCGCACAACTAACAACGACCAATAACCAAGGAACCATTCATTTATTATACTTCGTTAACTTTCTGTAGAGATGTGACCTTCAGTTTGACCGAAACAAAGTAGAAAAGAACAGCACTAGGCCAGAAAAGGAAGGAGACACCTCTCGGCCAAACTCTTAACCGGTGAGGAGCGTATAATCCGTACAGTACTGCACAGAAAAAATTACCATTTTATCCACTACAATTGCATTGCTTAAATGTGCTGTTATTGGTACCATTTACTACTGAAAATATCAACGAGATGTTTATTTATATTTGAACACATATTAAAGGCTTTAACGCTTGTTTTCGACTCGCAGTACTATTCATGATTGAACAAAACTTTTGGCAGGTGCTGTATGAAAAAGTATGTTTAAAGAACAATAGGCGAGAGTATAATGAGCTTTTTTCTCCCTGCCTACGATTTTGCCAGCGCGCATCCAAGACATTGGAAGGGGCATTTCGCTAGAGAAAGTAAATGAAGTATACATAAGTATACCGTAGATAGAGAAGGTTAGAAATGAAGAGGTATTAGAAAGCAAATAAAAACAAAGGACTTTATGGAAGTCAATAAGAAGCTTAGGACACCTTCTGAGGCATGAAGGTCTAGTCAGAGACAAATTAGAGGCAGAAACAGGAATTAAGAGGAGTAGAGGTAGACCTGGATTAAATTACTGTTAAGGATTAGGGTTGTTCTACTTTTAGGGAAAGATCAGCGTAGCATAGTCTTAGGACTCATGACCTTATCATGATGATGAGAGGGGGGAGAGGGTCAAAAACTAGCAAAAATAGTCTTAAGTAGTAAACAAATGGCCCCCAATGAGTGTGTGCACCTCCTACTTATATCTACCGATAATAGAGTCATATAGCATGATACGTATTTTCGCATACTGTATATGGATAGATAAATCTGTGAGTACGTATATGGACCGCACGGAAAATACAGATTGTAATAAACAGTTATCAATCTAAATCCACCTGAACATACCGGATACCTACGTATTGCTTACTTAAAACATTTTGAAGTCAGATGGCTTTTATTGAACGCCTAAGCGTAACTACGTACAAATGGCTGGAAACAGTCCAAAAATGTAATTTAAATGTTTTTATTCGCCACAAACTAACTAACAGAACCCCTGATGTTTATATGCACCTTCTCCGGTCAAGAACTGCAATAAGCTACTTGCACAGCAAAAAACAATTTTCTAATGGTAATTGCTGCAATACAGAGTAAACTTTTTGTAATAAAACTCACAATTACCTACAGTCTGAATAAGTCCCTATACGGAAACAATTATTTTCTGTACTGAACTAGGTAATTTGCTACATATCAAGAGTGAACTTCATCAATTAGTACAAACAGTGGTGTAGACGTCATCTGTAGCATTGCTACACTTTGTGGAACTCAAATAATGTTGTCTTATGGCGCTGATCGAAATCGATATCCGCAACTGACGGATTCGTGATAATATTGACTACCATGAACGTATTGTTCAATGAACATTACCGTCATCAAAATCATGATGTCAGTCCAAAAACCGGTTAAGCACGTATTTCCACAATTACTCTCAGAAAACCTTCGCATTTTGCAAAAACTTATTACGAACAGTACCCTAGTCTAGGTCTTTGTCAGTCTCTCTACTCCTATATCTGCATCTAATGTGTATTTAACTAGCCCTTCAAACCTCAAAAGGTGTCGTGTCTTATAGTTGGAACGATCAAACTTCCACTTGGACCTGTAGTCTTTTACTGCGTTTTGAACACGCTCTTGTTAAGTAGGGAAATGGTTCATGACTAGTACAGATAATGTGAAAAGAGATAACCAAATAATAGTAAGCGATGAGGAGTTTAGAGGATGCTTAGATACGCAAAAAATCAGGGTCGGCTTTATCACTGCCTGGTTGGAGTTATATCTTTAAACAAGCGTCTATACGTTCCTAAATTCCTGAGAAAGTTGAGAGTCCAATACTGGTAACATGTTCAAATTCTGCTTTTCTGCATCTCTTTCTGTTTTTTTATTAGTGCCCTATGCAATCGGTACATGACATCTATTTTCTCATCATCATCATCATAAGGTCGTCAGTCCTAAGACTGGTTGGACACGTACCTCCACTCTTTCCTATCCTGAGCTAAACTTCGCATTTCCCTAAAACTAGAACAGCCCACATCCTTAACTATTTGCGAACATTAATCTGATCTAGGTCTACCTCTACCCCTCTTTACTCCTGTTTCTGCCTCGAATGTGTCTCTGACTAGGTCTTTTTGCTTGAGAAGGTGTCCTACTATACTTATTTCTTATTGACTTACATAGAGTCCTCTGTTCTCCTATTCTTTCCAATACCTCTACATTTTTAACCTTTTCTACCCACAATATCCTCATCATATAACACCATATTTTGAAAGCTTCTAACCTTTTCTTTTCCGCCGCGCCCACTGTCCATGTTTCGCACCCGTACAGAGCCGTGCTCCAAACATACACCTTTAACAACCTTTTTTGATTTTCTAAATTAACTGTTCGCGAGCATAGAAGTGACTTTTTTTTATTAAAGCCGACACGACCCTGCGCTATCCTCTGCCTTATATCCTTACTACTCCTTCCACCCTGACTTATCTGACTTCCTAAGTATCTAAAATCAACCACTTCCTCTAATTTTTCGTCCCCTATCTTTATATTCAGTCTTTCCTTACTTTTTCTTCCCTTGCAAATTTTTGTATTTCTTTTCATACAATACTATTTTCTCAGTACCGCTTCCATTTTATTTAAAGCTATTTGTAACTCCTCCTTGCTAGATGCTAATACTGCTATATCATCTGCAAATCTAAGCATACTAATCTTCTGCCTTTGCACATCTATCCCTACAGTTGTACTGTCTTTAATGATGATGATGGCGTCTTCGATGTCTCTCTTTTCTATGTTTACTATATTCCTTACAACGTGGGTAAAAGTAGGCGTTCCGTCAGCAACCTTTCTAGTTTAGTTAGTAAGTTGAAAAAAACAAAGTAAACGAGACAGTTTTATCGCAGACTATGCCAATTTTAAACGTCCCAACTATACCATCCCATTTCTCAGCAACAATTTGTCGTCATGTAACTGAAAATACTTATAAAAAACAAAAGGCAATTCCACCATAGACTTTGAGCCTATCCATTCAATCTTTTCCCATGTTAAATACGTCACTGATACTATAATTTATATTAAATATAATGAAATGATTAATCACACCGCCTATCGGCTGGTGTTCAGAATCAATTTCGAGATGCAGCATGTGTCAACAATATTCGAAAGCCAATATACGGCTTCAGCCACTCCAATCAGAAATTAATGAAAGTTCCGCATCTGCCGAGTATCACTATCATCATTGATAAAACAAAAACAGTTGAAAGAAATCGTCGCCTTTGAATAATTACCATCAGCCATCCGTTGAAGTGTTTATACAACTCCGCAATTCATTTCCATTGTCGTAATAGAAGATTAATTACACTTTTCCCTCCGCCTACCCTTTTTAATCTGACTTAATTAAATTATAATTATACTGTGAGTGCTTCATTGGATTTATTACAATCCGCTAATTAATTTCACAATAATAAGAACGGAAATCCTTTTAAAAGTCTCCAATAAGAATTAATTAAATGCAAATAAAAGCAATGTCTCACCCAGTACAAACAATTGACCAATGAATTTACTTTTTGTTTGAAGAATTCGTCGGATCGGGTAAAGATCAAAAGCGTTTGTAATTTATATGCTAAACATTACCGAGCTCGTTTCCAAAAGTGTAGCGAAAGGCCGGTAGGTATGTTCCATTATTTCAAAATATTCTCCACATTGTTAAAAATATTTACGTTTCGTTGAAATGTATGTATCGCCCATAAAAAGAATTCTGCACATTGTTTTTAAAAAGACATACCAGAATACTTTGTTGACTGTAATTCCCTAATTTTATTGCTAACATAAAAGCTGTTGCTTTTAAAACAATAAGCTATGTACAATATAAAAATACCCGCGGTTTTCCTTTACATCTGATCGTTCTTTTATTTATACGAATATGTCACATCGTGTTCGTATTTATACCCAATATTTCGTTTATTGCTAAAGCTTTTTTTAAATTGCTGCACAAGGTACCTTCTCAATTTTTTGATCAGTGTAATAACCACTGGACCATCGGAAAAACTATTAGGGGAAGATCAATTTGGGTTTAGAAGAAATAGAGGAGCGCGGAAGGCCACTCTAGCTTTACAGTAACAGAGCTGGGGCTGCAACGTAGAGAAGTGCATATTAGGAAAGGTGTCAGACAGGGATGCACACTGTCACCGCTGCTTTTTAATCTATACATCGAAGACGCGATCAACATCATTAAATACAGTACAACTGTAGGGATAGATATACAGGCCAAATGATTATTATGCTTAGATTTGCAGATGATATAGCAGTATTACCATCTAGTAAGGAGGAGTTAGAGATAAAATGGAAGCGACACTTACAA